TCCTTCAATGGCTGGGATCAAAACGATGAGAGGACCTGCATGTGCACTTTGCCACGTATCGCAACATGTACAATAGAGGGAGGGAGAGAGAGAAAGAGAAAAAAAGGTGTGTATGTATTTTCAGTATTGCGTTCGTATTGCCTCATAACGGCCGTGGTGTTCTCCTGCCGTCTGGTGTTGCGCTGCATACGGACAATAATAAGCTTAATGGAATTTGTCTATTTTGCTTTTATTATGGTTCGCAAGGAAGGTATATTTACGAATTGAAGAGATAATTGTTTGCTTTTCCCCCTGGGATTATTCCCGGGGCTGTTTCAATTATCAGAAGAATTATAGAGAATAGCTGTTCCTTGGGGTCATTTATATCAACGTTGCACTTAATGAACCGCGATAATTATCAAGAGTGGGGGCCCTTGGAGGAGGGGGGGGGAGGAGGGGTTTGGAGAGGGAGGCAGGGGGTACCTGGCGGGGGGGGGGGTGAGTGTGTCACGAGGATGGGAAGCGGCAAGCATTGAAAGCAAAGAAACCTCTGCTTTAAGGCAAATGGGGGAGGCGGAGGGCAGGGAGGGGGGGGTAATGGCGTACCAATGAGGGAGGGAGTAGGGTGGAAGAGGCATGTATGACGAAGGAAAAAGAATAAAAAAGAACGAGGAAAAAAGGGTAAAACGATTAATCCGGATAGAAAAGGAGGGAAGTAAAATAAAAAAAGGATAATTAATGGGATAACAAAAAACAGGGTAATACTTGAAGGTAAAAATAAACCTGAATCGTAAATTATAGAAATAAAACATAGATGTAACAAAGTTAAAAAGGGGAATAAGTTTTTTTTTAACGTGTCAAAAAGCATATCAAATAAAATCAAGCAACAGTTAACTAAGGAATATTATAAAAGTAAGACCATCACGTACTTAAATATAAAAGTATAAAAGATAAGGAATTAAATCGACAGCCAAGTAAACAAACAAAATACCGAACATGTATACATATATATACACATGAGATTCAACGCATCTTTTAATGAAGATCCATTCGCAATGATACCGACAAATAAACGAATAACCAAAACAAAATCAAAATAGATAAATGAATAAGCTCGTTAACCCACGGCTCGGCTTGTATGCTCTTGAGGTTAGCCACGTAGGACGCCGGGATGTAGCCCTGCAGGCCGGTCACGTGACTCTGGGCCAGCCACCAGTCCTCGGAGCTCATCTCGAGGACCTGGGGAGAGAGGGGGCGTTAGGGAGGGGGCTGAGTGTCTGGGGGGAAGGATGGGGGAGGGGGGGGGTGTCTGGTAGAAGGGGGGTAGGAGAGAGATAAGTGGGGGCGGGAAGAAAGAGGGGAAGAAGGAGAGAGAGAGAGAGAGGGGATGGAAATGAAGAGAGGGAATTGGAGGTTGGGGGACACTGAAAGAGAGAAAGAGAGAGAGAAAAGAGAAAGAGAGAGAGAGAGAGAGAGAGAGAGAGAGAGAGAGAGAGAGAGAGAGAGAGAGAGAGAGAGAGAGAGAGAGAGAGAGAGAGAGAGAGAGAGAGAGTGAGGCCGACAGATAAAGAATAAAAAGGAGGAACAGTCTTGTGCCCTGAGTCAGCCAGCAGGCCTTAGAGCTCTTCTGGAGTACCTGAAGAAGGTGCTTCGGAGAGGGAGAGAGGGAAGAGAGAGAGAGAGAGAGAGAGAGAGAGAGAGAGAGAGAGAGAGAGAGAAAGAGAAAGAGAAAGAGAGAGAGAGAGAGAGAGAGAGAGAGAGAGAGAGAGAGAGAGAGAGAGAGAGAGAAAGAGAAAGAGAAAGAGAGAGAGAGAGAGAGAGAGAGAGACAGAGACAGACAGACAGACAGACAGACAGACAAACAGAGTTTATATGTTAAAAAAGTATGAGTTAAAGAGAGAGAGAGAAAAAAAAACCCGCAAAGTACTTAAACCAACTTATAATACATCAGAATAAATGAAAGCGCAGAAAATCATATCAATGGCGCGCCTCACATTCGAAACCGTATAACGACCCCTTTACCTCGATGTGTTCGTGGCGCCGGAAGCTGAGGTCCTGGTCAGTCCTGGCGTCGTAGTCGAACAGGGCGATGTACATCCTTCCGCTCTCCAGGCCAGTCACGCTCGAGCATCCGGGAGAGCCTGACAACACGCTGGGGAGAGAGAGTGAGGGGAGGTGAGAGGACTGTGTGAGGGGAGGGGAGAGGACTGAGTGAGGGGAGGGGAGAAGACTGAGTGAGGGGAGGGGAGAGGACTGAGTGAGAGGAGGGGGGAGAGAGAGTGAGGGGAGGAGAGAGAGAGAGTGAGAGAGGGGAGAGAGTGGAGGGAGTGGAGAGAGAGAGAGTGAGGGTAGGGGAGAGAGAGAGAGAGGGAAAGGGAGAGAGAGAGAGAGTGAGGGGAGAGAGAGAGAGTGAGGGGAGGGGAGAGGAATGAGTGAGGGGAGAGAGAGTGGAGTGAGGGAGAGGACTGAGTGAGGGAGGGGAGGAAGAGAGAGTGAGGGGAGAGGAGGGAAAGAGAGTGAG